TTTATGGCTTGCACTCCCAGAGGAAAGACCACACCCCTCACCTCTTTATGGCTTGCACTTCCAGAGGAAAGACCACACCCTCACCTCTTTATGGCCTGCACTTCCAGAGGAAAGACCACACCCCTCACCTCTTTATGGCTTGCACTTCCAGAGGAAAGACCACACCCCTCACCTCTTTATGGCTTGGACTTCCATGCTTGCTTTCTTGAGCTCTGATGTCATTTGGAGTTTGTTGATTGTTTCTTGGGCTGCCCTGAGAAGGAACACTGGATCTGTTAGTTATTTTTCTGAGAAAATGAAACAAGCAAGCGAAGGCTTGGGGGCAGGGAGGGGATGGCTGGAGGGGAGACACTAACATTTTAAGAGCATCTACAGATCTCTGGTCATTTTCTCGAAGGAACTCTTCAAAGGATATTGCGTCAGCTTGGAGCTTTTGCTCGGCTTTTCTGAGTTGATTTTCTTTCCCGGCTATGAGTTTTTCAAACCTTTGAATTGTGTTTTTCTTGGTTGAGACTGCATACTAGGAATATTGAAAACAAGAGTGGGTCAAGAACATTCCATGACATGTTACTGACAGCTTTCAACAGAATCTCCGTAAATCTAGTGGGCCCTGCGGCAAGATGGCCGCTCGCGGTAGACAGAATAATACCATGCACAGAGCTGGGTCTTTATCTCATGAAGGGAGATTGCTTTGGGGGCAGTCCGGAGGGAAGTTAAGCCTTCTCACTAGCTTTCATGACGAGACTTTGTGTTCTTCTAAAATGGCTTTCCCTATCAGTCAAAACATGAGCTACTTTCTGTCAACTTGGAACAAGCTAGAGTTATCAGAGAGAAGGGAATTTCAATTGAAAAAAAAAAAGTGCTTCCCTAAGATTGGCTTGTGAGCAAGCCTTGAGGCATTTTCTTGATCAATAATGGATGTGGGAGGACCCAGCTGACTGTGGGTGGGCCCAGCTGGCATGGGTCCTGGATGGTATAAGAAAACGTGCTGAAGCAAGCCATGGTGAGCAAGTTAGGAAGAAGCATTCCTCCATGGCTTCTGCCTCAGTCCTTGCCTCTAAGTTCCTGCCTTGCTTGAGTTCCCGAGCTAATTTCCCTCAGTCTCAGTGATGGACTGTTACCTGGAAGAATAAGATGAGATGAACCCTTTCCTTTCTCTTGGTCATGGTATTTTATCACGGCAATAGAAACCTAACCGAGACAGGGTGTATCATGGAAGACACCACCATGGAGAAACCAAGCTGGTGCTGACCTGAAAGTTTCATCCCTACTAGATAACTTTCATAGTGCTGCAAAGTCCTGGGCATGCTAGTGGAGGGGAAAAGGAATCATCACTCTCACCCAGCTGTGATCTCTATGAGCTGCAATAATGACTGGCCTGGCAAGATATGCTTACTGGTGCAATAGTAGCATGGATATTATTGGGGTAACCAACCACTTTCTGATTGGCCCTAAGGTCTCTTCCACTGGGTAGAACCCTTACCTATTCCTGTTATTGGGGTCAAGAACTTGTGGCTAGATAGGCCCTAGGGGAGAACCTACTACTATTATTCTGCTAACTTAATATAATATAAAAATATTATATAATATTAAATATATTATAATATTAAAACAACTCCTGTCTTAGTGTGGTAGTTTGAATGTCATTGGCCTCCATAATCTCATTGGGAGTGGCACTATCAGGAGGTGTGGCTTTGTTGGAGTGGGTGTGGCCTTGGTGGAGGAAGTGTGTCACTGTAGGGGTGGGCTTTGCAATCTTCTTCTCAAGCTTCACTCAATGTGACAGTCAGTCAACTTCCTGTTGCCTCTGTGTCAAGATGTAGCACTCTCAGCTCCAGCACCACATCTGCCCCGCATGCCAGCATGTTCCCCTTCATGATCATAATGAACTGAACCTCTGAAACTGTAAGTGAGCCACCCTCAATGAAACGTCTCCTTTACAAGAGTTGCCATGGCCATGGTGTCTCTTCACAGCGATAAAAACCTAAGGCAGTTAGGATTACTACTGTGGTGATGAAATACCATGACCAAAAGCATCTTGGGGAGAAAAGGGTTTATTTCAGTTACAATCCCACATTACAGTTCATCATCAAAAGCAGTGAGGGCAGGAACTCAAGCAGGGCAGGATCCCTGGAGGCAGGAGCTGATGCAGAGGCCATGGAGGAGTGCTGCTTACTGGCTTGGCTTGCTTCCCATGACTTGCTCAGCCTACTTTCTCATAAAACCCAGGACTAACTAGCCCAAGGGTGGTCCCACCCAAGTTGGTCTGGGCCTTCTCACATCAATCACTAATTAAAAAAATGCCAGGGTTGGGGATTTAGCTCAGTGGTAGAGCGCTTGCCTAGCAAGTGCAAGGCCCCGGGTTTGGTCCTCAGCTCTGAAAAAAAAAAAAAATGCCCTACATGCTTACCTACAGCCAGATATTATGGAAGCATTTTTTTTCAACTGAGACTCCCTCCTCTCTGATGACTCTAGCATGTGTCAAGTTCACACAGAAGTAGCCAGCACAAGTCTTGATGGCATATTGCTATGCCCAGAGAATCAGTGCATCTCTCAACTGTCACCAGAGAAGCTTCTTCTTGTAGCAGATGGTGATAAACACAACTGGTCAACAAGCTGAGAATAAGAGACTGTGGAGTGTTCAGCCCTGAATACAACATCTGGATGTCATCAACTTCCCCAAGGCTCAGGGATCATTGCAGAAGAGCCAAAGCCTTGTAACCAGAGTCGGCTATGTGGATGATGTCAAGAACACAGTGTTTTCTAGACACCACAGGAAAATTGCACATATAGAACTCCCAGCAACTACGACAGCATGCATAAGACCTTTGCAAACTCAAAACAAGAGTGTGGTGGGAGACTGGAGGTGGGCATGAAATCTCATCCCCAGCTGAGGAGCTATTGGTGCTTGATAATTGCTGGGAAAAGGAGTCATTTTGCTTTAATGGTCTGACTCTTGGTACAGGGCAGGCCCCACATCCAAGGGTAGTTGGACAACAGAAATTAGACTCAACAGTTTTGTTTTGTTTTTTTTTAAAGGGAAGAACATGACAGTGGGTGGGTGAGGAGGTGAAGGCTGATCTGGAATGAGTTGGGATGTGTGTGAAACTATTGAAATACATGGTATGAAATTCTCAAAGGATAATAAATAGGATTATTAAAAAGAATAAATTTCAGATATAGACAAACGTCCTTTCTACATTGGTTGAGATGACTATATGGCTTTTCATTCCTAATCTGTTGATGTGTATTGTACTTATCCATTTTCAAATGTTAAGCTGCCTTCATATGCTTAGGATAAGCCCTGATTAGCCATATGGATTATCATTTTTGCATATTATTTGATATGTTAAAATTGTTTAGAATGCTTGCTTCTAGCTTCTTTAAGCATTTATTATATTCAGTTAGTTAGTATAGGTGCGTGGGACAGGGACACATGGAGGGCAGAGGACAACTTGTAGAGGTCAATTCTCTCCTTTCTCCACGTGGGGCTCAGATAGTGAACTCAGGCCATCAGGCTTAAAGCCATTGCCTTTGCCCACTAAGCCATCCCGTGGGCCCGGGCTTTCTTTTCTTCTAAAGTCTGTATCCTACTTAGAGATCAGGACAACGTTCTTGTCATATTGAGTGTTGGGGATGTTCCTTCTTCTTACTCAGTTTTATTTAACAGAGTATGTAAAATCAGAATGGTTTTCTCTTAAAATGTCTGGTACACTTAACCAGCGAATGTGGATTTTTCCTTCTTTTGCCTACAAGTTCAATTTTTAGAGTGATATAAAGCTATTTATCTGCTTTCTTCTTGGGTAAGCTTTGTTAGTTTGTAACTTCCCAGGAATCTATTCCATCCATGTCGCGAATTATTGTCATAAAATTGTTCATAGTATAAAATCACAATACATTGACATTTACATTTACATGAGACTTTCATACCCTAAGTCTGCCACAAATAAAATTTTTAAAAAGGAAGGGGTCAGGGGTGGGCAGAGAAAAGGGGGTGAGAGAACCAAGGTAAGGAAGGTGCTTTGAGACCAATTCAGTTTTCGAGAATTAAGTTCCTCATCCCCAATTCTGCGCTCACTACTGACACCAACAGGGGATTCGAGGAACTCCTCAAACAGTTTCCGGTTCCTGGGCGATCTCACAACACTCCTGGGTACAATTTCTTCCAAGGGAAAGAAACATTAAAATCAACCAGAAGAAGAGCCCCAGGAGGCAGGTTCAGAGCAGCTTCTCGACCTTCCTCATGCTGCGACCCTATAATACAGTTCCTCTTGTGGTGACCCCCAACCATAACATTATTTAGTGGCTACTTCATAATTCTAATTTTGCTACCAGTATGAATCGTAATGTAAACATCCAATTATATGACCCCAGGGGTTGTGACCCACATGTTGAGAGCCAATGGCTTAGAGGCACTCCAGATGCAAAGCTTCTGGGACTCCATCCCCCATGGAGTCGGCCTGCGGCTCCATTCCTGCATCTGTAACAATGAACACGGCTGTAGCCAACCAGGGACTCAACTGAGCTTCCCTGGCCGGAGTTTCTTGTGAAACTTCATTCCACAGACATGATTAATTGGCTGACCTGTCTTCAGTCCCCAGACCCTCTCGGTATGACCCCAAACCTCCACATCGTTGGTTTTTCTGACAATGGCCGTCCTAAGACGACAGGTGTGTCCAGCCTCACCTTAACGACATCCTTATGAGGTGTGACGTAGGTCACCTTCTAGAAGACAAGGCCAGAGCCAGGCATTGTTTGGGCAAGATCAATTTTTTTTTTCCAGTTACTGTTTCAGTGATAAATTGACTTTATTATATCACTTGGGGCATGTTATCAACCAGCTTGGGAGATCGGGAAAAATACCAGAGCAGAGGACAAGGCACATTTACTACAAACCCTCTGAACTCCCAGAGAAACTGCCAAGCGCCATCTCCAGGTACCTAGTCAAGACATTAGTTACATCAGCAACTAATGTCTTCTTCGTGGTTTCATGATGAAGGCCAAAGCCACACACAGGAACCAATATTAGCAAACAAAGACACAGGGTTCTCTTCACAGCTGTACGATGGAGTTGTTTATGTGAGCTCTGTTGATGGCAGCTGGCCGTCGTGGGAAAGCATTATTACCTCTGGCCTATCTTCCAAAATGCGTGCTGTGAAATTAGGAAAGATCAGATACGTTTTCCTTTCCTCATAAGCATTCAAGACCTTCACAGCAACAGACCATCTTTAAATGACTGGATCTTGACAACAGAGGCGTGGGCTACAGCTAGTTGATCCTTGTTTGTAATAATTCTCCCACCGTCGTGGGCACAGTGCCTCTGCTCTATCTATGGTAACGTGACGCACGGACAAGGATAATAAATAACATATGTCATATGGCCTGGGTTCTAGTTCAAGGGTTTTGTTTGTTTGTTTGTTTTTTGTTTCCAGAGCTGAGGACCAAACCCAGGGCCTTGCGCTTGCTAGGCAAGCGCTCTATCACTGAGCTAAATCCCCAACCCCTAGTTCAAGGTTTCTGATAGATAAAACCCTCCGTGATTTTATAAGATCTGGTTGGCTATGCTGTGTACTTATTGTTACAGGTGCAGTTGGTACCACAGGTGGACTCTGCAGTCCTTCTAAACCCTGCCTCATTAAATATTAAAATCTGGCTGATTCCCTTTCCCTGTAACAAGCCATTTCGCTCTGGTATGAGTGCGTATAGAGGGAGCGGAAAGATTCTAGAATGTTCTGATTCCCACCATAGTCAATCAGAATGTCAGGAACATCAAATTAGGCTTCTCAAGGGCTATTGAGGCTATTCTCAGACTGAGGGGAAAGAGATCATGGGTCCTCTAGAAATACAGACCACTTCCTGAGTTACTGGCATAGATTACTTAAATGTAAATTCTCCAAGGGGAGGGAATTTTGTAATGGCTCGGCACATAATAAGCATGTACTAAATATTGTTCAAGTGAATAAACACAGGAACGAGCCACTCTGTTCAGCCAATAGATTTGGAGCATGTTATGGAAAAACACACTGCCAGGCTAAGCATCTTACAATACTATGCAAGAAGTCTCCTGGCTAATGGGAGAAAGAAGTTACGTCTATTACCTCAAGTAGAAATCTGTCTCTCTGGTCATTAATAAACTCGTGCAAAGTCCTCTTTCTGTCCGCGCCTGGAGAGAACATTCAAACAGACATAGGTTTAGTTCGCTAGCTCTCACAGACACCGCATGGAACACCGCACTGGCCAAGTTCTCATATACACTGTGTATCCAGACTCGGCAAAGGAGCGGTGCCTTCCAGTGGTTACCCTGGCACTCAAAGGCTGCCACAACAGTAGCCGCCACTTATTTTGTGTCTTGGGACAGTCCAGGAAGCTTTTTTAAGAACTTTAAATACATTATTTGATCACGAATAATTTATTACCATCTTGCCCTCTTTGCATCCTAAAGCCTAGGGATGCCAAATTTTTTGCCCAAGATCCCACAGCTACAAGTGACGGGAGATAAACCTCAAGCCAATGTTGCACAAAGTCAGGCAGACTGCTCTAAAGCTTTCCTAAAATGTGGGATTTTTGCGGATTCTCTGAGAATTTCCTACATGCGACTATTGTATTTTGATCATAGTCGCCTTCACACCTCTCCGTTAGCTTCGCCCAGATCCACCCCCACCTCTCCACCCATCCCAACTTGATGTACTCTTTAAAAAAAACAAAACAAAAAAAAAAAAAAAAAACCACACCTTTTTAAAAGCAACTCACTGCGTTCAATCTGTGCTGCGAATATAATCGTGGGTGTGGTCCCTCCACTGGAGGCAGCCGATCCAGCAGGGGCTTTCAGAAAACCCACCCTCCCTGAGAAGTTGCCAGCTGTGGACAGCTTCTCAGTCAGGGAAGCCTCCACCTCCATGCTGGAAAGTTGACGGGTTTGATCTTGCCAGGGGTGCGGTGACCCCGCCATATCTAGGAGACACTACTTTTGCTCCTCTGACCTCTGGCTCCTACAGTCTCTTTGCCCCACTTTCTGCAATGGTCCCCAAGCCTTTAAAGGAACCGAGTGTGCTATACAGTTCCATTTGTGTTTGTAGGCTGACCCAATCTCAATGTCGGACCAGTTTAAACATAATACTGGAGGCCTCAGGCCACATGTCTTTAGAGACCACAAGCCAGGATGAAAAAGATGGCAAGCAGTTTTCCCCTTCAGAAAACGGGATAGGGATTCCAAGAACATTTGAGTTTTCTTCATTTTGGAAAATGCTACATTTCCACATTAACTTTGTGCGGATCCAACAGAACGCGGTGCAGAATAAAGTTTCTTGCTAACCACGGAAATAGAAAGCATTCGTGCTGCCCTGGGAGGCTATGTCTCTCCCCAAAGATGCACTGGTTTCCACCTCTAACTAGCTGGGAGAGATGAGTAAGCCCGCTTTCTCTCCGTGCCTCGGTTTCACCGTCTGTGTGAAGATTGTTCTCCTACCCTCAGCTCACGGCTGTCACCGTGATCTGGTCAGGAAACAGGCACGGGACTACGTGGGTTCCAAGAAGAAGCTTCAAGAGCCCTTAGCTGTGGCCCCCTGCAATGTCCTAGACAGGGACTGTTCCTTCAGCAGAGACCCCCAGGGAAAGAGTCTGAGAATTAAACCTCCGGGACTGGAAGCCACTGAAATTTCAACGTGGCTCATTCTGAAAGCCGAAGGCAGCCTTAGGCTTGCGGGAGCATCCCTCTGTTTCCCAGCGGTGATGGGGAAAGAACTGAGGCTGTCGAAGATGAAACACACAGCAGTTGCTCAACAACTATTAGTTGCTATTATTCAAACAACACACTTGGAATAAATCATTTCATTTGATGATCAATCCATCATAAAAACGACGATAATTGTTATAGTCATTAACCAACACTCCCTGGGAGGTAACCGATGGCGTCAGGCAGGCTTTGACTGGAATTCTGCATCTGCTTAGAGATTCGGGATGACCCAACCTCCTTAGGCTATTATCATCCAGAAAGAGGAGGCAAAGACGCCTGGCAGCAAATTTGTTGTAGATCAAATATGGCACGCCCAGGTAGCGATCAATTAGAGGCAGCTATCTTTTTAATACTTGAAGAGTTGCACAAACTAGAAATCACCGACCTAACAGTGCAGCCTGAAGTTCAGCGCCTTCCACATCATTGGTACTTTATCTGCCTTGCCTGGTGATATCCCTCCTTAACTCCCCCCCCCCCCAGAATATTTTGGGGAGGGAAATCTTGGACTATTTCATCCCTAAGAGCTTTAGTGTGTAACTTTACCAGAGCGTTTAAAAGTAATGCTCCTACCATCCTCACCCCCAGCAAACTGATGATTCCATAACACCATCTCAGAGCCAGCCTGGGTTGCATTTTCCCAGTTGTCTTAAAAAAAAAACGCTGATCTTAAAAATTATATTCTATGGCTGGAGAGATGGCTCAGAGGTTAGGAGCACTGCCTGCTCTTCCAGAGGACCTGAGTTCAATTCCCAGCAACCACATGGTGGCTCACAACCATCTGTAATGAGATCTGGCGCCCTCTTCTGGCCTGCAGGCAAACATGCTGTATACGTAATAAATAAATAAATCTTAATATATATATTCTAAACTCAGACTAGCTTGGCTGTGTGACTCCTTCTAGAGATTCATCTTTTCACATCCCAGCCACCCCCAAGTTTCTTCCACTATGTGTCCCGTAATCCCCACCGTTTATCTGTTCAGGAAGCCAAGCCAATTTCCCCCACACAGGATCTGGCATATGACACCTTTTTTTTTTTTTTTTTTAGATTTATTTATTTATTATGAATACAGTGTTCTGCCTGCATGTTTGCCTGCAGGCCAGAAGAGAGCACCTGATCTCACTACAGATGGTGGTGAGTCACCACGTGGTGGCTGGGAATTGAACTCAGGACCTTTGGAAGAGCAGCCAGTGCTCTTAACCCCTGAACCATCTCCCGAGCCCATGACATCTTGATAATGATGTTTCACATGGCCCTCAACCCCTCATCTTAACTTCATTAGATTCTCATTCAATTTATTCTCTCTCTCTCTCTCTCTCTCTCTCTCTCTCTCTCTCTCTCTCTCTCGTGTGTGCGTGCATGTGCATGTGTGCATGCTCACACATGCATGTGTGGTGTATGGGGGGGGCAGGATGTGCATGCTCCTGGGCCCACAAGCAGAGGCCAGAGGAGGACACTGGGTGCCCTGCCTTAACGTTCTTTACCTCATTCCCTTGAGACAAGTTCTCCCTTCGAACCTGAAGTTGGCTAACTGCAGGCAAGCCCCGGTCATCTTCCTGTCTCCTCCCCACCCCACACACCCAGCGCTGCGGTTACATACTCGGGTGTGACCATGCCCGGATATTTATGTGGGTGCTGGGGATTTGGACTCAGGTGTTCATGCTTGTGAGCCTTTTCTCCAACCCTACTCTAATATTTTTAATAGGGAAGAATGCCACTGCTAATAGAAGCTTTCATTTGCTCACATAAGTAGGACCAACCCAGCTGAAAACAAATTTCAATGTCCGTAACCTATTAATTCAGACGACTTAACATGGTCCTGGCTGGCTGAACTGATGGGATTTGATCCTCCCACTGGAATAAGACGCATTGTCCCCATGACTCTTCTAGCTATCAGAAAGGCTTTTCAGCAGTGAGACTGAAGCCCCTTCCAAAACACCTCCATCCCGCATGGGTGTTTTGAAGCCCAGTAAGAGATATCTGAGCAGACGGAGCCTGCTTCAGAGCCCATACAGAGATGTGGATGTGTTTGTTTTTTTTTGATAGGGTCTCACGTAACCCCTGCTGACCTCAAACTTGCTCTAGAGCAAAGCATGACCCCAAACTCTGATTCTCCTGCCCCTACTTTCTGAGTCCTGGCATTATAGAAGCGCACCACCACATCTGGTTTCCAGGTGTTGCCTTTAAAGGCAAAGGCAAAGTCTGACTGTTACTGTGTAGAGAACGAACAGGTGTAAGGAAACCAGTCTGCCTGTGGCACTTAGGTATCTGCATATTTCCTTTAACGGTGACCTAGCCATTCACCACTAGTGCTAACACAGAAATACCAGAATCCAGGCCCCCAAGTGGGGCCACTGGCTTATTCTGCTCCCATATAGGTTTATCTATCTATCTATCTATCTATCTATTTATTTATTTATTTTATCAGAATTCATGCAAGGATCATAAGGCTGAAGTAAAATGACTTCACTCAAATCAGTTCATGGTTAGAGCTACAACAGAGAAGTGTCTTTAATTGAAAATTGCGGGTTGGGGATTTAGCTCGGTGGTAGAGCGCTTGCCTAGCAAGCGCAAGGCCCTGGGTTCAATCTTTAGCTCAAAAAAAAAAAAAAAAAAAAAAAAAAGCCAGGCAGAGGCAGGTGGATCTCTGTGAGTTCAAGGCCAGCCTGGTCTACAAAGCCAATTCCAGCACAAGCACAAAGCTACACAAAGAAACCCTGTCTTGAAAACAAAACAAAACAAAACAAACAAACAAACAAACAAACAAAAAGCCAGGAGGTGGTGGCTCA